ACGATTATGTTTCAATGCATGGTGACAACATGGTGTACCTCATAAAAATTGTTCTTTAGAGCAGTCATGCCTGTGTAGCTCATGAACATACCAAGAAAATGTTTTTAAATGTGCAGTGAAAATGGTTATGTGTGGGCCCGCACATGAGAGCCTCCCCGGCTGCATATTTGAGACCACTGATATAGAGGGATTTATCGTGCTGTGCAGATTAAATTGATTGACCACATGGCTGTGACAAATTGTGAAATATCTGTCTGTAAGCCAGCTTGCTCTCTAGGTTTGATTGTTTTTGGAAATATTTTTTTTTCGTTAAAGTCTAGTGTTTTGCATATTGTATTAGGTATCTGAATATTACCGAAAAGAGATCGGTGGGTCTGAATTTCTTTAAATTTATTATGTCTCTTTTTGTGTGTATTAATGTTTTATATTTGCATTGTGTACTGAATGTTTTCCTATATTTATTCAGTGGGTGCTGTATTTTTTTTATTCTTACTGCTATTGTATTCTTTATTTTAGTGTGTGTGTCGGGGTACTGCAATATTACATGACGCTTTTTATTCTTTTTCATACAAGTTCAGTCTTGTACACTATGCATAGAATGTGTGCTTGTCATTCATACATAATTCATTGTGCCACTGTGAGCATCCTTAAAGGCCAACTCCAGCGATTTTTCGACCATGTCAAGGTAATGGTGTTTCTGTGTTCCTGAGACACTCTTGTCACGAGCCCAATAGCTGAAATGCTCAGGAAATTCGAAAACAATTTTTAATAAGCAAAAGGTGCAAAACCGAAACCCGACCGGGCGCCCGGTCTGCATATGATGTACTATTTGTTAAGAACTGGAGGCCGTATACTGGTTCTGCCGGCACGTAGTATGAAAACTGTGAAAGCCAGACCAGCGAAGCACCGGCAAAACACCACAGAGGAAGGAAGAAAGCTCTCCCGTGCTATGGTCGTGCCAAACACCACCGCTGTCGTCTTGGGGCCAGCACAATAAACAATGTAGGGGCCAAAGTAGCGATGCCATCGCCTGCGTCACTTTCGTTGACATGACAAACTTGACATCGCACTGACAGTGTTGCCAATAATTCTGGCAAGCGAGGCGAGTTTTTCGAGGCAATCTTTAAAATTCATTTGCAAATAATCTGCGCATCTCTCAAGCCTGTAATTGGCATAAATGACAGGAATGTGCGTAAGAGTGTACCCAGCGAATTTGATTGAGATTCGTTGACCTCGAAAAACCACCGGAGTTGACCTTTAAGCATCCTTAAATAAGTAAAGACATGCTGTTCACGTGTAAACTGTTAACCTGTATGAAACCTGTTTCTCAGTGCTTTACTGAAATGCCAGTTGTATGGCAATGCCTTTTTCCTCCTTTGGAACTAAAATTCCTTTTATTGTGATTCAATTTACTGTTATAAGTATTTGTAATATTTGAAGTATCTTGTACGCCTTGTGTTGCAGCACTGGCCAAGAAATTTTTTTACACCAAAATATGTTCTGTGCTATTTAAATCCTGTTTGCCTTGAAATAAAATTCTTTTTTTTTCAATGTTATTGTTGCCTTTCATACCTTCTTTCGGATATCTTGTTAGTGAGAACATCTAATTGTTTTCTCTTAGTTGCATAACCTTTTCTATCGTATGAATATTAAAAAAATTCAGTCATATCCTGCAGCAGCATTATATGCAGTGACAGGTAGCCCATAAACACGTGACATCAGGTGCTCACTGGTAGTTAGCCATATTCCCTAGTTTGGGAATAAGACATCGTTGGTACATTGTGATGCTGCAAACAGTAGAAGGTGCGGTTCCAATGTGTACTAGTACTTTAACTGCTGCATTTTCATGATGCATATATGGAAAGCTTAATCAGATGCCCTGATACAGTGGTTGTTTGTAAACCAGGCAAGTGTTGTAAACAAGCTTAATTTAATCCAAGGTTTAAGTAAGTGACCGAGCTCAGGGATTCCAAGCTGAAGCACTAGCTCGAATTCTGTTTGGGTAACACACATAAATGAATTGCTTTATATGGAGGGTTGGATGCATCACCGTAGATTTCCATTTATGACTTTCAATACTGCTCAGGTAGAGAATTGTAAAAAATAAACTTCAAAGTTATGCATGTACTGCAATTGGGGTGTCCTATTGGACTCTCCCATTGCAGCTTGGGTCCCATTGACGTCCATTTGAGTCCCATTGCAACCAACTGGAACCACCTATCATGACAGCAGGTCATCCTGTTAGAACTTCAAATATGCAGAGTTGGTTAAAATGTTAGAAGCCACTACATGGGAAGTCCAATTGGACAGTCCCATTGCAGCATGCACTTCCAATTGGGCACCAGTTAGACACCATTTGAACCCCACTTAGCCCCCTTTGCCACCCATTGCTCCTAACTGGAACATCCAGTTGGACCCATTAACTATTTTTGACTGGGTGGACGTCTCGGGTCCCTCCCCCTCGGGTCACTTCACGGCTGCCGTGATTACAGAGGGCAAACACGTAGATGGCCTCTCCTTTCGAGCAGACACAGTAACGCACGCTGAAGAGGTTGCCATAGCTTTGGCCGCCTCTCACCCTGCCTCACGCACCATCCTGACGGACTCGCGCTCGGCCTGTTCTCAGTACCTTCAGGGTTCCATTGCTCCGCTGGCGGCTAGCCTACTACAGGCAGCCTCTTGGCGCTTTAACCCTCATCCCATTCGTATAGTGTGGACCCCAGGCCACTCGGGCCTGCCCGGCAACGAGGCGGCAAATGCCGCTGCCCGCGCTTCTCCTGTCCGGGCCGTTGCCCCTCCATGTCCCGAGACGGAATCTGGCAATACCAACCTGACGCGCTTTCGCGAAATTTTGGCTTATTACCGGGCTTCGCGCCGCCTCTACCCAGACCCCGCACGCGGTTTGGAGAAAGCGGACGAACGACTGCTACGCCGCCTGCAGACGAACACCTTTATAAGTCCGGCGGTCGCCAGGCACTTTTTGCCGGAAATCAATGGCACCTGCTCGACCTGTCATGTACTCGCCGACACATATCACGTCGTAGCATCGTGCCCAGTTAATCCCGTCCCTTTCTCATCCCCTTTTCCTATCCCAACTAGAGAGGCTTGGGAGGAGCACCTGCTCGGCTGCTCTACCTTGGCTGCACAACGCTCCTTGGTGGAGCGCGCACGGGCAGCTTCCAACTCCACTGGCGTCCCGGAATAGGGTCTTGCCACTCTAGCACGCCGATGGGCCACGTCGGCACTCTCTAGTAAACTTTTTCTGAAATAAATGTTTTTACCACCACCAGAGACAATAACTTTCATGTCCTTCTTGTCTCTGTGTCGTCGTTTTGTTCTCGCGCTATAACTATCGTCATGCTATTAGTAGGCTTTGCTCTTTCCTACGCTTCTACCCAAGCTCTGCCTCCTCACCCTTCTGCACTCTCCCCCTCGACTGTCACCTCACTTTCTCTTGTGCCTTCTGTATTTTTGTGAACGTCACCTAACACAGCTCTGTTGTTAAAATTTCACACATTACTTGCATGTGTCGTCACGGAGAGATCCTCTGCTCCGGGTACCTAAAGAAGGCGGCCACCATGACTTTTCATCTCATTGGAGGGCAAGTGCAGGGGAGGACATACAGACATTCAGTCCCCTCATTCTTTTGTGTTCTCCCACCTTTCTCCTGTTCCAGCCGTGCCTGGAGGCAACAGAAATAATTGGAAGGAAGGGGGGGGGGGGCACCAGCGCTAATCTGATGTCACAGTTTCTTGCTCATCGCGGTCCAGAGCAAGAGAAGTGCGTGAACTTGTGCGGGTTGGTACACATTCACAATAAAAAATAACAAAAAAAAAACGGCACGAAAACAACAAGTAAACGACAGATGGAACAGGACATCGCTGTCCTGAAAACTGTCCACGGTTTTTAGCGCTCTATTTCTTCCGTTTCTCATTGTTTTCGCACTGTTTTCTTACTATGTAGAGCAAGAGTTCATACAGCATGTTAACTAGCTGGCACAAGAAGATAGCCACAGCAGTGACATTAATGTAAGTTATGTTTAATAATGTCCACTTTTAGAAGACAACTGCAGACACATGTAGTACAAGGAAAAGAACACAACTCATCTATTACATATGATATATTCGCAAAAAACCACAAAAATTCATCGAGAATCGATAGCAAGAGACTATAGAAATGAAACACACAGAGGACCCACCGAGGTGTCTTCACTCCTGCGATTTTGAGCTCTAAATCTCAAGGACACAGCTGCTTTAATTTTCCAAATTAATGACATGTAAAATGTGCAACTTCAAGAAGGTTCCATCGCTGTGCATGTTGACGTAGCCAACTTCATAGTTAAGGCACTTCAAACGTTTGAAATCCTGGCATAGCTCTGAAGTCACTTAGAGGTACTTTTAATGAAAATTTTATAAACGATGCAAATTTCCCTTTAAGCAAAAAAAAAAAAAAGCTGTACAAGACTGATTGTGTAAGGAGGCTGAGAGCTGTTTGATGCACTTTAGAAGTTACTTTCAACCACAAATTGTTAGTACTTTTTCTCATCCTGCCATAAAAATATTCTGTACACCCCTGATCTTTAAGCCTCTCTTATATTACCATGGGACACGCAAAAAGACTGCATTTGTAAAAAAGCATAAAGCTGTTTGATACATTTTTGGTGTAACCTTCCAATGTCAAAATTGAATCAGTTACCCCTCCATTTATTTACACACACACAAAACGAAGGTATGCACACACTTGATCTTTAGTTCTCCTTAGCACGATGATGAGATATGCAAAATATTACTGAAGAGAAAGTTTTACGGAATTTAGAAGCTGTTTGATATATTTGAGGGTTTACCTTTTACAGTAACAAATTATTTCGTCAGCTACCACTTTGGTTACTTTCACAGAAAAAAAACACGTTTGCATGCCCCACACCTTTGGGGCTTTTTTTCATGACGATGGAACGAACAAGATACCGTTAAACTTTGAGCTTTTCAGAAAGCTGGAAGCTGTTTGATGAATTTGAGGGATAACCTTCAAGAGTATAATTTATTCAGTCTGTTTCATACCATACACGCACAAAAAAGTATGTACACCCCTACTTCACTGCTGTTTTGCATGACGACGAGACATGTGGTCTTTGAGGCTGTCTGTTCGTGAAAAGGATGCACTACAGTGAACACAGGAATAAGGGAGCTCTCCTGTGTGGGCGTGCATATGGCGCTTGAGGTTGCTCTTTTTCGAGAAGGACACGTAGCAGTGGGAACAGCTAAACGGATTCTCCCCGGTGTGGGTGCGCAGGTGCCCAACGAGGTGAGAGTGCTGCCTGAAGGATGCGTAGCAGAAGTCGCAGGGAAAGGGACGCTCCCCGGTGTGGCTGCGCACGTGGACCACGAGTTTGGACCTCTCGTGAAACGTGGCCGGACACAGGTGACACTGGAAGGGGCGCTCGCCCGTGTGAATGCGGAGGTGTACTCTCATGTGATTCCTGTGCTTGGTCACATAGTTACACTGCAGGCAGGACTGCAGTCCGCCCTGTGCGCACACGAGCAAACGGTACGGATCCTCGGGCGCCAAAGTGGAGCAATCTGCAAAATGGTAGGGAGTATAGGAAGGCAACGGAAACTGTGCATTACGCACTACAATTAACAGGACTGTGGTGCTAAGCAATCAAGAAGGATTGCTGCTTTCACAGGAGTGCACAGGGTTACCCCATCATGGGGGGACGAAGGCTTATCACAACATCCCCCCTCCCTATTACATCAATGAATAGGCCTGATTTTGTGCCCCCTCCTCATTATGTTAATTTATAGACCAGATTTTGTCCCCCCCCTCCTTATGAAGTGAATGTATGAAATGCATTTTGTGCCCCCCCCCCCCGCCCTCTTAGGTGACTGCTCCCACCCCCCCATGCGCACGCCTATGACTGCTCTTATAAGTGAAGTAGTGAAGTACAGAGTTGACCACATCTAAGGATAACACGTCTTTATAGCTAATAAAAAGTCAATAAAACTGTAACATTTATTATATTTCATTAAAATGTCCATCATCATAGTGTCAATAATGACAATAATAATTTTCCAAATTATATATTAAACATAGCATCCATGAGGTGTCCTAACAAGTGAACAAATAACAAGGTGATCACTTTAGATGTGGACACCCTTGTACATAACATTGCCTTCCCCAAACCACATACCACAGGACAAACCCTAGTACGTACATTTCATGCAAGTTTCTATCTCTCTGCACATGCAAACCCAAATAGTTAATGGCATGCAAAATTTTCAAGAAAGCTGTAATCTCAGTAACTGTGTCAGGTAACGGTGCCTTCAAATGAATGTTCCAGCTTGTAGATGGCAATGCAACCCGTACAGCCATCAGCTACATTATAAGCAATAACTAATGGGTATAAAAAGAACAAAATACAAGGTAAACAAAACACCAGCTGAGGTGGTAATGTCTGTGTGTGTGTGTGTATGTGTATGTACTACATATTGTCCGATTTCTCTGTCTAGCCTTTTGTCCTTTTCTTGCTAATTATTTATGTCTGAAGTCAATTTGCACCAACTAACTCAACTCACATTACTACTAAATATCAAGTATTAAACAGTAACACTATGAATTCAGGGAACAAACCAGGGTTAAGGATATCATAATTGAAATAAAGAAGAAGAAATAGAGGTGGGCTGGGGACGTAGCACATAGGCAGAATAAACGCTGATCATTAAAGGTAACTGACTGGATTTCCAGAGAAGGCAAATGAACGCAGGGGAGACAGAAAGTTAGGTGGGTTGATGAGATTAAAAAGTTCGCAGGTGTAACGTGGCAACGAAAAGCACAAGACCGGGTTGATTGGCAGATCATGGGAGAGGCCTTTGCCCTGCAGTGGGCGTCGTCAGGGTGATGATGATGATGACTATTAATTTTAGTTTGTTATGAAACCAATGTCTTGTAATCCTTTGCTTCATAGTGTCCGTAAATGAATTAGTACAAATTAATACTTTATTAGTACTAAAACCTCCTACCAAAGCAAGGAGACCAGATTTGGATGCTGAGTTGAGTTGAATAAACTTTATTTGCCCAACGGTTGTTGCTGTGCCCGAAGCTAGGCTGCCAGGGACACATCGTTCGAGGAACATCTTTTGAGGTCCTCGGCGACGGCGCTGGCCTGCTGGACGGCCCGCACCTGGTCTTCGAGGGCCTCGCTGAGAAGGGCGGCTTGCCATCGCTCAGCAAGGTGCCCCATTTCGGTGGGTCCCTCAGTTGACGTCATCCTCTCTCGTGGCCTATCTTCATCTCTTTCACATTGCCAAAATATATGTGCCATATTGGCCCGTTCGTGCGTGCACCACGGGCAGCCAGGCGACGGGTGCAGCGTGGGCCATAAGCGGTGCAGATGGTAGGGGTTGGTGAACGTGCCCGTCTGCAGCCTTCTCAGGTCCACCGCCTGCGACCTGTCCAGGCGCACGTGGGGTTGCAGAAATTTCTTCCGATCTTTCCTATAGTGCGCAAGCACGTCGTGGTATGTGGCAGCAAATTCTTCTCCATAGCAGTCGGCGCACCTCTGTTGTCTCGCCTCTTCTGCACCAACTTCAGTTGCTGCAGCAACGGACGTAGTGGGGGGGGGGGGGGGTAATTTCGGCATTGCCAGTGCCTGTGGCCACCACCGTGCCTCGGCCGGTGCTCCTCCCAACCACGGTGGTGGCTGCTCCCTGGGTGGCTGCATCGCGGCAGGTAAGTTGCCTCGCGATGAGGTGGGCACGCTCGTTATGGTTGGGTGGGATGCTGGTTAGTCTTTGGCTGTTGGCGTTGTTGCTGCTAGTTTTACGGCTGTTGTTGTTGATAGTTCCACTGTCCCCCATGTGAGCGGGAAACCACTTGAGGGCCTTGTCAGTAATCTTGCCTGAAGCGAAGTCCCCAGCTCTGGCGTTAAGCATGCGTGCCACCTCCTCGGACACCTAGCCTTTAATATAGCTCCGAATCGCTGATCTAGAATCTCTAATAATCAGGCTGTCGTCTGCACCGCTGTGGAGTACTGCTAAAGCTATGGCCGTTTCTCCTGCAGCTTCGGATGATGGCAGCCGTGCTGATGCTGATGCCGTGACCCGAACCTTTCCTGTTGTGTCCAGGACCGCCATAGAGAAAGCAGGTCCCGCCGCCAGCTGACCGGACTCGCTGTTGATGTTGCCGCTGTCGCTGCAGTCGTTGTTGTCGTAGCAGTAGCAGTGGTGGTAGTGTTAGCGCCTCGACTTCGCCTCGCTCGTTCACGAGTAGCGGCGGGGGTTCCGAGCGTCCCCCATCGCCGCCGCCAGCTGACAGTGGAAACCTGGCCGCATCGACGAAGAGGACATCCTCTTGGCTTCCATGCGCCTTCAGGATTGCTGCAGCTCTGCATTTGCGTCGTTGCAAGTCGTGAACGGGGTGCATGTTCCTGGGGATGTTTTCTGTCAGTATGGCATCCCTGACTTCCGGTAGCAATGCTTCCTCAAGTCCACGCGCCTCGTGATATTGAATCCCGAGCAGATCGAGAATGCGTCTTCCCGTTCTTGTGACAGACAACCTCTCAATCTCCGCGATCCTCTGCGCTTCTGCTATCTCGTCGAGGGTGTTGTGCACATCCAGCTTCAGAAGCCGGCGGGTTTCCCTGTGCTGGGGCACACCCAGGGCTACCTTGAACGCTCGACGAATCGCCGCGTTCAGCTTCTCGGTTTCGCTTCTGTTCCAGTCGGCATATGCGGCAACATACGCTACGTGGCTCAGCGCATACGCATGTATTAACTTCGTCACGTTGTGTTCCTTTAGCCCTTTTCTTTTTTTCGCTACCCGACGCACAAGGTGCGTTGCGGCGGCCAATTTCTTTTGCAGTCGTGCTACCAGCTCGTGGTTCGCACCGTTCTCTTTCAGCCACAGGCCGAGCACTCGTATTTTGGACACCGTCGGTATTTGGGTCCCCTCCTTTGTCATGACACGAATGCCCAAGCGACGGGCGTCCAGTACAGCCTGCGGGTGAGGTCCTTTCTTGAATGGTCTATGCAGGAGTATTTCCGACTTATCGGAAGAGCAGACGAGTCCCATGCCTTCAAGGTGCCGCTCCACGGCCCGGACGCCCTGCTGCATCCTCTCTAGCACTTCACCAACGCTCGTATTCGCTGTGGTTTACACGGTCACGTCGTCTGCATAGATCGTGTGATTGATGCCCTCTATTGCGTCGAGACACTCCGGTAGTCTGATTGATGAGGTTGAAAAGCATGGGAGAGAGCATCGAGCCCTGTGGCGTACCCGCACCCCCCATGTCAACTGTTCTTGGTGGGGCACCATCGACCTTCACCGTCGCCTTGCATCCGGTCAGGAAGCTGCTGATGTACCGGTGGCACCTTGAACCAAGACCTAGTTGGCTGATCTTGTTCAAAATGGCAGCATGTTTTACTGTATCCAAGGCGCTTTTGAGGTCTAACCAGAGCAGGGCGTGCACGTGCGTGCTTGGTGCGTTAATGACCTGTTCCTTGATTTGCAGCATAGCATCCTGCGTCTAAAATCCTCTGCGGAAGCCAATGATGTGAGTGCCGAAGGCATCCTGTTTCTCGAGAATCGTTGTCACCCTGTTGAGGCAGGCCTGCTCCATGACTTTCCCGACGCAGGATGTCAGAGATATCGGCCTCATATTTCGAACCTCAAGCGGTTTACCTGGCTTGGGTGTTAGTATGACATCCGCTGTATTCCATTCTTGTGGAATACGGCCTTCCTTCTAGCATGTGTTGATATACTGATGTAACTTCTCGATGGCGTCATCATTCAGGTTCCTCAGAATTCGGTTGGTGATCTTGTCAGGACCGGGTGCCGATTTAGTCTTCAGTAGCTGGAGGACTGCTCTAATTTCCTGCATGAAAAATTCCGCGTCTAGTTCCTCGTTGGGAGCCCCACAGTATTCCATGTGACTCTCGCCTGCCAGGCGACTGAGGTGCGTCTGGATGATCTCCTCCACGAAGGCCTGCGCGTCGTCTTTGTACTTGTGTCGCAGCTTGGCTATCTGGACTCGAGTCACCGTTCTTGTGCTGGTTGAATCCAGCAGGTGCCTGAGAATCTTCTATGTGCGCCCTGCACTCATGTTTCCGTCCATCATATCGCACAACTCCTACCATTCCTGTTCGCACAGTCGAACGCAGTGGGCCTCAATCTCTCGGTTGATCTCGGCAATATTCTTGCGTATCTTCCTGTTCAGTTTCTGCTGACTTGCTCTTCGCTACATAGATTTCTTGGCCTCTACAAGATGCGCAAGCCGGCGGTCCACCCTGGACGGCTCGGGAACGCTGTCGTCGACGTTTCCGCAGGGCCTGTCACCACCTTCAGGCTCTTTTCGCCTGTCTGGCCATTCTATTTCTTTTGTAGCTTTTTCTACGTCCGCGAGTAGTTCCCTGCACCATTCCCCGATATCCTCGATCGGCCCTTCCTTGCTTCTCTCGTTCTCTTTGCTCTCGAAACTTGTCTCAGTCCACGACTCTAGCTTTTTGGCAGCCGTCCGTTTTGCCTCTATCCTCTCCCATTGTCATGCACAGGACTCTGTGGTCGCTCCCCAGATCCTCAAAGG